AAAAGATTGCAACTGAAAAATACACCCAACAAAGGAAACTGAAAGTACATAAAGAAAAAGAAGGGAAAAGAAGGGGGGGCGGGGGGAAGAAGGGAAAAGTGGAGAAATTTTAAAGAATATAAATATGTCACCGACCTGGAAGGGTAACCAAGACCCGTTCTACTGTGCCTCGCAACGTCTCTCCTTGTTGCCATTCTGTCTGGGGCAACAGCCATATATCTTCATCTCCAAATTTCTGCTTAACCAAAAGCAGCAAATTCTGGTCCAACTTCCTGTTCAAAGAGGTTCGGTCATTCTTTTGGTCAGCCTCTGCTCAGAAAGAAATTTAGCATTAGAAGTATCCAACTACTCAACAACCCAAAGAGGCTACCATAAGGACAAATAAGCAAGAGAATTGCCACCAAGACGACAGGTGCAATTTGCAAACTGAACTGACTGCACAATCCTGCCCTACTTCTGGTGATAGCAAACAGCATCTATACTCTTATTATTCTTTATAAATCAGTAATGCAGATAAATTAATTATCCAATTTCCATCCAGTGGCTTGGCTTAAAATTGGTTTTGATTTTGCAAAGCTCTTGACAAAAGCCACCTCTAAGGCATAGTAGCATTGTAAAATCAGCCATCTTTAAGCAGCACAAAACAATAACATTACAGAAAGTCTCTCCTTCAGTTCAACTTGGCCATTACCTAGATTCAGCCAGGCTTAATCATACCTATTCCTGACAGCTGAAACTGTAAAAGCAGTTTGGTTTTAGCTGGCCTGGAGAATCAACCAGACAGATGCTTTACAGGAGCTGGAGACAGCCAGTTAGTGGGTTGCCTATGGTAAGTGGGAAATGCCTCCAGGGGAAAAAAGCAGAAAAATTATACACAAGTTCATTCTTTCAAATAAAAAAGGACAGCCAGTACCTGATTGTGCTTATTGGAGGTAAGGGAAAGAGATTTTTTTCTGAAGATATTTAATATTTAAAGATGTAAAATTTAAAACCACACATTACAGTTAATTGCCGTGCACATTTTTTTCATCCTATTAATATTCAGCATCCTTAATGTTGCTAGCTTGTAGCTAACTGATCTAGTGTAACAAAGGTCATTTGAAATTGATCGGCTTTGGATGGAATTAATCATGTGATCTTCCACATAAGGAGTTCCAATGTGGATTTTACTCCGCTAGTCTTTTGCTGACTATAGGGGACAGTGCTAATCTCCATTTTAAGACCATTGAGTCAGCGCTGTCCAAAGACATCTTCGCAGTC